TTTGTGCAAGGCTCAAATTCAGAGTCCAGGATATCATCCCTAAATCAGATCCCAGTGTTGCAGAGGCATACTAGTGCCAGGATGCAGGGACCCCCAAGCTCTTCCAGAGGGCAGAAAACAGGCACAATGATGACTGTTGAGAACAGTACTGCCCATAGTGGAAGCCGCTAGCCACACATTGCGCTGAACCGAAACAGAAGGAGCCAGGTGTGGTGGCGCACACCTGCATCCCAGCATGCGGAAGGCTGAGGCATGAGGCTGAGCCTGAGCTCTTTAGAATTTAGCGAGACCCTCTCTCAATCTAACAACCACAAAAGGACTAGGGCTGTAACTCAGTGCAAAGGCCCTGGCTTCCATCTCCACTGCCCCTAGTAAATAAAATGAAAAATCGGGTCGTCCATTGTAGTAGCCAAATCTGAAGTACCCAACAGATACATGTGGAGAGCGTCTACAACTGTCCCCGGGTATCTGCGGAGCACTTGTTCCAGGACCTTCCACAGACGCCAAAGGCCACAGGTGCTCAAGTCCCTTATATAAAATGACTCAGTGGTCACATGGAGCCATGCACATCTTTCTGTACCTTACATCACCTCTGCATTATTTATTGATAACGCCTAATACAGTGTAAATGCTATGTAAACATTTGTTATACTCTATGTTATTGGGGAATAACAATCCAAAAACAAAAGAAGTCCGTACATGTGTAGTACAGATGGAATTCTTTTTAACCCACAGTGGGTTGAATCCACAGATGTAGAATACGGCTACAAAGAGGGCCAAAGACGCGAGACAGCGCAGAGGCAGGATGTCCCATCGCCGCAGAAAGTCTAGGAACTGCACTGATCGGACAGTAGATTTCAGTGATGCCCTGCAGTCCCCCAATCCCACTCAGCTTGAGTTGTCCCCAAAGCCGACCCTGGCTCAAGGTACAGGTGGTTGTTTGGGGAAAGGGCCCCGTCGGAAGCACAACTAAGTGGAGAAATTGAGGCTGAAAGAGTGAAACACCAACAAGTGGTGCAGTCTGGAGAAGAGGGAAGAACTTGAGGTCCTTGCCCTACTGCACCCTTTAAATGCTGAATGCTGCAATCCTCGCTGGCCTCACCGTAGTCCCAGTCCACAGAGGGCCAGTACTGTGAGCAACTGGACCTCACCAGAAGTCCCCAGAAATCGCAAGAATCACTTAGAATGCACTTCAGTATTGACCCATTGTTATGATTTGTGTCTGGGTGACCCCTCAAAGCCTCATGCAGTCATGGGTGCAGGCTGCTAGAGTTTATGATTGATCCATGGCCCAATGCTGAGATCGTGGGAGTGAGTGCTACACCCACCCTGCGGCAGGGAGCCTGCATGCACTATAAGGGAGGGCAAGAGCCTGCTTGCTGCCGTTCCTCCCTTTTTGCTCTTGTTGCTTTTGCTGTTTTCCACCACCATGAAGTGTTGCCCTCTGCCATGTGCCACTCTGCCTTGGAGCCAGCTGAGAATGGACTGAAACCTCCACAAATATGAGCTAAATAAATCTTTTCTTCCTTAATTTCTGGCATCAGGTATTTTGTCACAGCAATGAGAGAAAAGTAACTAAGACACCCATGAAAGCCAGAAGTGGTGGCACATGCCTGTAATCCCAGCTACTCAGGGGGCTGAGACAGGAGGATTACAAGTTCAAGGCCAGCCTGAGCAACTTAGCAAGATCCTGTCTCGAAATAAAATAAGAAGGGCTGAGGATATATCTCAGTGGCAGAACACTTAACTAGCATATGTGAGGCTTTGGGGTCAACCTCCAGTAATTTAAAAGAAATTGACCCATTGAAGAATAGGAAAGCCACAGTATTTATTCCCTGGCTCCTAACCCTCCCTGCCTGGGAACTGCTCCTTGAGGAATCAGTTCTGGTACTTCTTAGTCTGTTGTTTTGTTTTGTTTTGTTTTGTTTGAGATGGAGCCTCACTATGTAGTTCAGGCTCACTATGTAGTTCAGACTATCCCTGAACTCATTATGTAGCTCAGGCTGGCCTTGAGCTCATAGCCATCCTCCTGTGTCAGCGCCCTGAGTTGCTGGGATTACAGCATGTGCCACCACATCCAGCTACTTTTAGTCTGTTCTGCATGCAGGCAGTAGAAAGCCCTCAGACTCAACTGGAGAACCAGAAAGATCCAGGCACACAAAGTGGGAAGCTGTCAGCGTGGAGGAACTGCCCACTGTATCTACAAGTGAGTGCCGATGTGAGCTGAGGGGATGGGATGTGGTAGGAAGGCGCCAGCTGGTGTGCTACAGAATATTCTAGAAAACCTCCCACCCAGAGGACAGGTGTGAGCCTTATGGTGACAGAGAGTTGGGAGCAACCTAAGTGTCCATCTCTGGGGGAGTGGGTAAGTAGAGGCGCTGTGGGCGCACTGTGGACCATAACGCAGCAGTTAGAAATGAGGAACTCAATGTCCACAGCTACATAGAGAGATCTCAGAAATATAGCGTTGTGGTTTTTTTTTTTTTAAAGGAAGAAGTAGAAGATTTATGGCACAATCTCACTTATGTAAATTGGAAACACATATATATACACACAAAGTCACAAATTATAAAGGTACATCTTTGCAGCTATATATCAAGAGCATTAAAGTGGGTATCAGTGAGGGGGAGGGGTGGGGCGGGAATTGGGGGAGAGGGTTTTAAACCTTAGCGGGCCTTTTATGGACCAATTGTGATGCCGTGTTATGAGCTGAAGAGTGTGATTAATAACTCTCTGCAGCTAAGGACTTAAAAAAATGAAAGAAAGGAATGAAAAACACAAGGGCGCTTGCACATCAGAGCAATTTCTTACCAGCTACACGCTTGTTAGTATCTCAGGGTGACAATAAGCAGAACAATCAGACTCTTCCCCTGCCTGTGTGGTGGAGGCCCTGCTCCCTCCAGCTCCCCAGGCTCCCCCTGCAGTCCCCAGCGAAGGAGGAGCTCCCTACCCATGCCAGGCTACCCACAAAGAGCTGAGCACCTGCTACCGCACTGCAATGAGACGTGCAACAGGATGAGCACACACCCCAGCCCTGGCATTGCCTCTGGGGCCTCAGTTACATCATCAGTAAAGTGGGGATGATCAGTGCATTAGTCAGAGTTCTCTGGAAAGACCAAAGCATAGAATATACAGGGATGAGCTGCCTAACAGTGATCTGTGTCGTTCTATGCAGGGTGACAGGTCCCAAGAACAAGGTGCCCATGGACAAATAGAAAAAGTAAGAGAGACAAGGAAAACAAGGGAGACAAAATTTTGGGGTCAGGGGGCTTACAGCCTCTTGGACTGCAGCGCGGATCACCAATCACAATCACCTTTTATTGAGCCAGAATCAAGAACATAACTAGAACAAGCAGGCAGATAACAAACGTTTTAGTAATTAATGCCTTATCCTTCTCCAATTCTGCCTCTTATGCTGATGGCAACAATCCCCAGGTGGGCCTCCCACACTCAGCACCACGTTTATTCAGTTCAGTTGGGGATCACAAGCCAACCATCAGTCATCAATCCATTACGATCACAGTCCTTACTTCTCAGATCTGGTCAGTGACAGACCACATTTACAATGTGATCTCCTAAGATTATAGCGCCCCCACCCCATCCCGTGCACCTGGCATACCGGCGCACAGGAGGCTGAGGCAGGTGGACTTGGGCCACATAGTGAGACACTGCCTCAAAAAAAAAATTGTTGTTTCCTGGCCACTCATTGTAGGCACCTTACTTTGCGCAGGTACACTCTAAGATGCTCACGCAGCAAAATAAACTAGCAACCTATCTCTTGAAAGGCAGCCCTGTTGTGAAGTGACACATGTCTAACTGTAGGAGAGTTATCTATTATGGGAATATATTGGAGGCTCATGCGATTATATAGAGGCTGAGGAATCCTACAATAGGCCATCTGCAAACTGGAGACACAGAGATGCTGCTGTCATTGTAGCAGCTTAGTTTAGTTATTATAAATAGACGCAGAAGCCTGAGATAAGGATGGATGGACACGCAGCCAGTTAAGTTTTGAAATGTAAAAGAAAATAAAATAGCCCAGGGAGGTTAAGAACTAATTCAGTCCGCTAAACCAAACTTAGAATGCAAAGGTAAACACAAGAACAAGGGGTAAGAGGCTGGGGTGAGAACAGGGAGCTAGAACTCTACCCTCCAGGACGAGACCTGGAGAGAATAGATACGCCAGGTAAGCAGTGGCCTCAGAATCAGGGAAGCCAATGGGATAAGCTTCCCTGGGAGGGCACAGGGGCCTGGGAACCTGGGGGTGGGGACAGTTATGGTTCATGTCCCAGGACCCAAAGGCCAGAAAACATGGAACAACAATGTCTAAGAACAGGAGAAAGAGGTGCCCCTACTTAGCAGAGAGAGCGTGAATTTCCCTTTCCTCTGCTCCCCTCTCCCCAAGTACTGGAGATTGAACGCTGGGCTTTTGCACTGAGCTACACCCCCACCCCATTTTTGTTTTTGTTTTTATTTTGAAACAGGGTCTCACTAAGTCACTAAGTTGCCCAGGCTGAGCTCAAACTTGTGATCCTCCTGCCTCAGCCTCCCTGAGTACCAGGAACATTCTTAAATGAATAGCAGAAGCTCCCTCTCTGTCAGTCAGGCAGCTTCATCCACACTCATCCGAGTTATGCAACACACAGGCTGTGAGAGTCGCATTCCCAGTCACATTCTTGTCCCCTACGTCACCCTCAGTCGGGGACTGTCAGAGTCAGCAAGCTGAAGGCTGCCAGGGATGTCCTACAAGAGCTTCAGAGGCCCTTGGGATTGCATTTCAATTTCTCTTTCCCTCTTGGTGTAACTTCAGGCTCACCTGGGGCATCCACACCTGCTCATTAACCCTGGCCCCACCTACCCATGCTTTTTAAGGCTAAGGTGGAAATTCACTTTTCACGTTGCTAATTTCAGTTTAGATGCATCACCAGTGACTGTACACTCAGCCTGGATACAAAGCACAGCCACGCGTCCGGGGAAGCGCTTGCCATCTAGTCACGGCCATGACGATCCCTGTGTGGCTCCTGGTACCTGTGGGGCTGGGCTTGGCCGCAGCGGGCCCTGTCCCCACTGCCAAGCCCGCTACAGCCAGGAAAGCCTGCCACCTTGAGAGGTTTCTACCTATGTCACCGCGGGAGATGGAGTTCTTCAAGAAGGCGAAGGATGCCTTGGTGGGTGTTCATGGCTATGGGCAAAACTCCACCCTGCTTACTGGGCCAAGCTGCAGGCCTGTGGGCTAACCTCTGCCCTTTCTGCTGTGGGATAGCCTCCCACCTTCCTCCATGACTAACTCCATCCTTCCTGCCACTGGGTCAACTTGAACCCCCCCACCAGGTCAACCTTCTTGCTGGCTGCTGTGAGCTACACCTCCCCAGGGTGAGCTAAATTGTGCCCTTGCTGTCTAGGAAAAGCAGCTCCTGCTGATGGACTCCAGGTGCAGCTGGCACCTCTTCCCCAGGACCTGGGACCTGCAGCAGCTGCGGGTGAGTGGGCAGCCACCCTTGCTGCTGTCCCATGGCCCTCCCCACCTCCCAGCTTATCCCACTTAGGGCGTGTGTTCCTCATCTCTCGCTCTCACTTCCACACCGTCCAGTCCTTCTCATCTTGCTCTTCTATCCTCTCTCTTATGGCCCATCTGTCCCCAACCTGGGCTGCTGTCCTGCTCCACATGGATCCCTTCTGCCCTCCCATTCCCTCCTGGCCTCTCACCTCCATCCCTTGGCCTCTCTCTCTCTTTGTCTCTCTCTCTCTCTCTCTCTCTCTCTCTCTCTCTCTCTCTCTCTCTCTCTCTCTCTCTCTCTCTCTTTGGACCAGGAATTGAACTCAGGGCCTTGCACTTGCCAGGCAGGTGCTGAGCCACTGAGCTACATCCCTGGCCCCCCTGGACTCTCCTTCCGGGACCTGCTCCCAGCCTTCATCCACCTGTCCTCCCACGCAGCAACTGCCCCCTCCCTGCCCACAGCCTGTTCTCTTCTTGCCTGGCCCCATGCCTTGTCCCATCAGACATCTGCTACCCTCTCTTGTCCCCTCACCTGTCTCCTCCCTTGTCTTTCTGCCTTACCTGCATCCTCTCTGTCTGTACCTTTCCCTTGTGTCTCATCACCTGTCCCGTATCACTTGCCCTCCTCCCCATATTCCCTACCTAGTCCCCCCTCCTGAGCCTTCTCCTTCCTCACCTGCCACCCCTCACCTGGTCTTTCTCACCTCTCCAGGTGTGGGAGCGCCCCGTGGCCCTGCAGGCTGAGCTGGCCCTGACCCTGAAGGTCCTGGGCAACATGACAGACCCGGCCCTGGAGGATGTCCTGGAGCAGCCCCTCCACACGCTGCGTCATATCCACTCCCACCCCGTGTCACAGGCTCTGACCAGCTCGCCTCAGAGTGCCCCCTCTGCCCACAGATCCCGGCTCAGCCCACAGCAGCCCCTTGTCCTCATGATCTGGGACCAACCCACAGCTCCCATTTATCCCTGTGCTTCTGCTGACTGTGGTTAGCAAGCCACCAAGGTGAGAGTGCAGGATGGGCTGATGACTGGGAGGCATCTGGGGACCAGACCATGGGCAGCCCCGAGCCCTGTGTCCCCACAGGAGTCCCCTGGCTTCCTCCAGGCCTCTGTCACCTCCAACCTCTTCTGCCTGCTCATCCGGGACCTGCGGTGTGTCAGCAGGCCAGACCTGTGAGCCTGAGAATATGGGCTGCCCCAGCCTGTCTGCGACCCCAGACTCTATTTATGAACCAGCCCTTGCCCCCAGCTCAAGTTATTTGCTCTCCCTCCTTATTTGTGGTCCTACAGACCTGACTCAGACCCACAGCTGGATTTATTTTTATACTTTTTTACTTTTATACAATATATACAAATAAAGAAAACACAGAACTGAACCCTTCTGGGCCGGGGATATAGCTCAGTGGCACAAACACCTGCCTGGCAAGTACAAGGTCCTGAGTTCAATTCTCAGTACCAAAAAAAAAAAAAAAAGAATTGAACGCCTCTGTGGCCGAGGACTCCTTGAGGCTGAGGGTGGATATCCGTGTTCACAGGAAGGACTCGTGGCTGGCCTGATCTGTGTGACTGTGCATCTACTATGGATCTGGAATATCCCCCAAAGGCCCGTATGTCAAAGGCTTGGCCCCCAAAGCAGCAGGGTTCAGAGGTGGGGTTTTGGGGAGGTGACTGGATCAAGAGGGTTCTGATTTTATCAGTGGTTTAATCCACTGATGGGTCCATACTCTGATGGGCTATTAGGAAGTGCTGGAGACTTAGGAACTGGGATGTGTTGAAGGGAGAAGTTTGGGAGTGTCCCCTTGGGTGTTCTACCTTGTCTCTGGCCCCTTCTATCTCTCTCTCTCTGTCTCTCTCTCTCTCTCTCTGCTTCCTGGTTGCCATGGGGTGAGCAGTTTTGCTCCACCACGTGCTCTCCATCACGGTGTTTGTCTTTGTCCCAGGCCAAAAGCCACAGGGCCAAGCGGCCATGGACTGAAAACTCTGAAGTCATGAGACAAAATAAATCTTTCCTCCTTTAAATTGATTTTCTCAGGTATTTTGTCACAGTGAGAGAAAACCAAGACAATATCCAGATGAGTGTCTTCCAAACCCAAGTCTAACCAAAGACATGTAGCTGTGCATATTTATACCCACATGCATGCAAAGTATGCACTCATGCACATGTTCTATGAGTCTGTCTCTCCCTGTCTGTTGGAGTATGTTTCTCTTTTTCATGTGTATGTAGGAGAGATGGGGTCTATATCATTCAGGATGCTTTATTCTATAATAAGTAATCAGAAAATGCAAATGATAAAAGTAAAAATGAATTTATAATTCCATGTAAGAAAAAATCAGCTGGATTTAAGAAGAATAAAATAAAAAATAAAAGAAAGAAAAATCAGCTAGCAGAGCAGGTCTAGGGCTGGTTAGTTCATTTATTCAATAATGTGCTTGGGAAACCAAGATCTCTCCATTTCTGTGGGCTGATTTCATACTGCAGCTACTTCATTATCCCAAGATGGCAGCCATAGCTCTAGCTCTCCCACACAAACAACTTCCAAGTGGTAACAAACCACTCCAAACTCAGTGAATTAAAATAAAATCCATCTTATTATGCTCACAAGACCCAGTATAGATAACTTGCCTCAGCTCTACAGCACTCAAGATCTCACATCTTCTTCCATACTTTTTAAAATGGTGTTTGAGACTTGTATACACTGGACAAGTGCTCTACCACCAACCTGCATCCCCAGCCCCACTTCCACCTAATTAGAGGCAAGGAGGCAGACACATTCAACTATCTGATCTTTGATAAAGGGGCAAAATAACACACTGCAGGAAACATAGCCTCTTCAATAAATGGTGCTGGGAAAATTTACTTTTCACACGCAGAAAATTAAATCTAGATCCATATATCTCACCATGCACTAAACTAAAATCAAATGGATAAAAATCTAAATATTAAAACAAAAATACTTAATCTGCTGGAAGATAAAATAGGCATAGGCAATGACTTTCTGAACAGAACTCCAATGGTACAAGAAATACCGAGAATCAGCAAATGGGATCACATCAAATTAAAAAGCTTCTACACAAGAAAAAACAACCAACAGAGTAAAGAGACAGTTCATAGAGTAGAATTTTTTTTACCAGCTATTCCTAGGCAGATTAACATCTAGAATATATAAAGAACTCAAAAAAATTAGACCTCCCGGGGGCTGGGGACTTAGCTCAGCGGCAAAGCGCCTGCCTGGCAAGCGCAAGGTTGTGAGTTCGGTTCTTGGTACCGGAGAAAAACCAAAAAAAAAAAAATTAGACCTCCCAAAATAAAAGACCAAATCAAAAAATGGGCAAGTAAAATGAATAGAAACTTCGGTGAAGAAACAATACAGATGGCCAATAAATACAGGGGAGAAATGTTCAACATTACTGGCCATTAAAGAAATGCAAATTAGCCAGTTGTGGTAGAACATCGCTGTAATCCCAGCATGCAGGAGGCTGAGGCAGGAGAATAACCACAAGTCCAGGGCTAACCTTAGAAGCTGGGCATGGTGGCACATGCCTGTATTCCTAGCACTCTGGAGGCTGAGACAAGAGGATCGTTGCAAGCTCGAGGCCAGCCTAGGCTACAAAGTGAGCTCAAGGCCAGCCTGAACTGCATAGTGAGACCCTGTTTCAAAAAGACAAAAGAAAGAAAGAAAAAAAAAAAAACAAAAGAAAAAGAAAATCAAAGAATAACAAATGCTGATAAGGCTATAGGGAGAAAGGAACCCTTCCATATTATTGGTGAGAATGTAAACCAGTATGGGGCTGGGGATTTAGCTCAGCAGCACAGTGCCTGCCTGGCAAGCGCAGGCACTGTGAGTTCGATTCCCGGTACTGGAAAAAAATAAAAATAAAAAAAAAAGAGAATGTAAACCAGTACAACTATGAAGATGAGTACAGAGATTCTGCAAAAAATTAAAACCAGAAATTCCATTTGACCCTGCTCGTCCCCTTCTGGATAACTTTCCCAAATAATTAGAGACATCATATTACAGGGATACATGCACTCCCATGTTTATAGAAGCACAATTTACAATACTTAAATCTTGGAAATGGCCTATATGCCTGTCAACAGATGAATGAATAAAGAAAATGTGGTATTTATACACAAGGGAGTACTACTCTGCCATAAAGAAATACAAACTTGAGAGATTTGGCCAACCTACTTGGGACTGCTCCTGTCCCTCAGGAGCTATTCCTATTCCGCAATAAACCGTTCCTACTCTTAACTTCCTTTATCCTCTGGAATTCACCCTTTGATTTCAGGGCACATGAACTCAGCACATCTGACATCTATCAGCTCGGGAGTTACATTTCTCCTGTACCATTTTGGAGTTCCACCGAGATCACTAGGAGAGGCTGCCAAACTCCAAGGGATCATACAGATGGAACCAACAACTAGATCAACCTTCTAAAGGGAGTTCATAACTGCTAAACTCCAACATGATTTCTATCCAAGACCCATTAAATTATCTCTCTGCAAAAGGCCCCTGACTTCAGTCTACCCTGCACTGACCCTTCTCAGCTCAAAGCAGCTAGGTCAAAACTATGCCTTACTACATTCTCCCCTTACTACAGTTAGGGATGCTTCTTCAGAGGGAGGAATAGTACAGGGAGTATCGTGGTTTGGGGTTTGTTGCAAGGAGAAACAATATAATACATGACACACATTTTATAAGATTATTTATAATAGCCACCCAAAGAATCACATACAAAAGAGTGCAGGAAATCTGTCCATACACTGAAGACCCCAAGAATCTGGCGGAGGCCCTGGATCCCAACGATAATGTCCTGCATGAGTCCAGCTGAAGACCTAGAGCTCATAACAATGTCTCCAGAAGTCCAGCTGGAGGCCCAGAACCCACAACAATATCTCATGCAGGCCTGTTTCACAGATCTGTGCTGGGAAGGCCCAAAGGTCAGTGGTGGAATCTGGAAAGTCTGTACCAAAGTCTGTACTACCGGGATGAAGGATCTGTGCTAGCAGGCTGAAAGATCTACACTGGAGCCAGGAAGTGATGTTCAAAATAAGAACCAGAGCTCCCTCAAAAAGTACCACAGCCATCCTTAGCAACAGTGAGGTCCTGAGCTCCTCCAATGATCAGGACAGCTGAGTTCTAACCAGGAAAGACAACACAACAAGCTTCTCCAGGAGACTGAGTAGTGCACCATCTTCCCCTCCGGAGCCAGGAAGTGATGCTCAGAGTGAGGACCAGAACTCCCGCAAAGTGACCCAAAGCCATTCTCAGCAACAAGGTCCCGAGCTCCTTGGAGGATGATAACAGCCAAGTTCATCAGGAAAGCCAGCATGACAAGCTCCTCCAAGAGAACCAACAGGTCCTCACAGCTTCTCTCAGCTTTCAACAGGTTCCCAACAGCTTCAACCAGCTCCTAGAAGCCTCCCTTCTTCTCCTCTAGTTCTGCCTCTTATGCTGCTAGGAATAGTGCCCAGGTAGGCCTCCCACACCCAGTACCATGCTTATTAAATTCAGCTGGGTGTTACAAGTTGACCACCAGTTGTCAATCCACCACAGGGAGTTAAGTTAGATAGCAATTAATATATAGTCAGAGAGTGACTGAGCTGTCAAGGAAGTCAATGAAAGGTGGAGACACAATTGTGGCTGTAGTTGTATCTGAGGAAGCCCAGGCCTCAAGATAGTCACATGGCCTAACATGCACTCTTCCCTTAGGAATATATAGTAATTACTGCCCAGTCCATTAAGTACAGCTATAAGTCACACAGCATGGTTGATGACCAGAACACCTGAAGCCAACTTTTCCCCAAAATGTTTTTGTTTTAGAAGTCGAGCGGGGTGTGGTGGCACACGCCTGTCATCCCAGCACTTGGGAGGCTGAGGCAGGAGGATTGTTGCTAGTTCGAGACCAGCCTGGGCTACAAAGTGAGCTCAAGGCCAGCCTGAACTGCATAGTGAGACCCTGTCTCAAAAAAGACCATAAAAAAAAGTCATAGATAAGCCAAAGTTAATGATGCTAGCCATAGAACCCTGCTATGTGCCCCACTTCCTCACTGGGTCAACATTAACTAAGCAGCTATACTTGTAATCATACAGGTTGGCTACAGTTTGGCCCAGGTTCTACCCACATTGTGACTTTGCTGTATAAATTACCCCTGATAAATATCTTCAGTGGTAA